CCATTAAATATTGCATACAAATTTACTTAGCAGATGTTTAACGATGGGCAGGCAGCGAAAAAAGCAAGTGAATGAAGACAGTCGACAATAATTATCCTTAAGACATTTTTCTTCGGCTACACATTTTACGTGCGCGTACACACACATACTAAATAGTAGCGAACATACAATTCTATTCTTGTTTGTGTATTACCTATAAATATATTTATTTAATTTCTATTACAACAACTCTTCCGCCCCTAATGCATTTTAATTTTATTTCTTCTACAATTTTCTTCTTCCTTCACTATTCCTTTTGCTCTTTTAAAATATTCGCTCAACTAAAGCATCCTTTAGCAACTTCATTTGCATTTCCATAATTCTTGGTTTACGTTTATTATTCATTGTATGTATTTGTATGCGTCAATTTGCATGTCTTTAAAAATATTTGCATACCACCAATTTTGCAACTTTTTCTAGTCGTACCTATTTTCTTTGAGACTTTTAAAAACCACATGTTGAGTCCTTTTGCTAGCCTCGTTTCTCACGCGAATTGCATGCATACGTACATATACACTCGTGTTAAGCTTGTTAGGACACTACTGCATATTAAATAATGCATATATTTCATTCTCAAGAATGTGCTGACGTCACCCACTGGGTTTGTAAATGAATCAAGAATCGGAGAACTTGAAAGTCTCCAAAAGTGGTTATTATCTGATGTAGGGAAGGCATTGGTAAGAGATCAGGCCTCTCCCTTAATGTATAATGTTTTATGGGGTCATCGTCTGGTCAAATGCGCTAGATAAGGCCACTATAGCTAGGCACCTACAGCGTTTGCACTCTGGCACTTAACGCCAACTGTACCTGAGCGCAACCTTCAGCTCCATCCAAATTGGGAAGAACATTCTCCGCGCAATTTGAGACCAAACGTGGTTTTAGACAAGGCGATTCACTCCATAAATAGCAAAAGAACGATGTCGCTGGCGTATGCGGATGATATCGACATCGTCGGTCTGAAATAAATGGAAGTAACCGCAGCATTTTCCAGTTTAAAAAAAGCAGCTTAAGAGGTTGGTCTAGCGGCGAATGAAGACAAGACAAAGTACCTCCTGGCAACATACTTATAAAGGATCCACGCGTTTCGGGACACAAGTCACTGGTAGCTATAACTTTGAAGTAGTGAAGGACTTTGTCTATGATGAAGCATAAACCAACAATGTCAGCCTGTAAGCGAAGAATAATTCTTGCCAACAGGTGCTACTTTGGACTCGAAAAAGAAACGAAGAGCCTTCTCGTGAACACAAATTACGCTCTACAAGTTTCTCGTTATGCCAGTCTTCTATATGGCGCAGAAACGTGGACTATGCCGAACCAAGTTGAGAAAGTTTTGATTGCTTTCTAGATAACTATTCTGCGCAAGATCTACGGCCCTGTTCGCGTGGACGACGGGTATACGAGAAGACGAACTGTATGAGCTTTCTAACGACATGGCCATAGTTAAGCGCATAAAAATATAGCGATTGCGCTTGCTGCTCCGGTGAAAAGATTCGTCAACTCTGCACCCATGGCTGGACAACGAAAGCAAGGGCGAACAAAATGAAAAGATCACGTGCGGAAGAACCTATTTGCTCTCTGCATGTGCAACTGGCCCGAATTCGCACAGGAGAGAGGCAATTGAAGGAACTTCTTGGTCTCGGCCAAACCCGGTGGTAGTGCCAAATAATAACAAGAAATACCTGTTTATAAGGAACAGTTGCAGAAACGTCGGCGGCAATGATGCTCTGGTTGTTTATGGCGATTTCGTTTCTACAAAAAAAATTGCATTCTCATCGCCCTCTTCTTAGTGTATGTGCGTAGAGGGCAAGGAGAGGGTTGCATTTTTCGGTAAAAACCAAGTCGGCATTAATCAGATGATTGCGGCAGCCCTGATTCAGCGTAAGTCGCAATGGGCCGGCGGTGATACCAAAATAGATGCTGCTTTTATGCTTCATTTCCCTAGAAGTGAAACTAAGTATTCGTTCTGATGCAGGTCACAATGTCGATTTCGCCACCGTATAAACAACGGATAATTAACGGCAAATTATCAAATAGTTAGATTGGGTTTAGTTGGTTTCCCTAATTGGTTTTCAGAAGGTGCCCTGCTAGCTTCCACGGAAGTTAGCACGGCACGCGATATTCTTTAAAATATGTCCGTGGCAAAATTATTCTTTTCACGGATAATTTACGGATAATTAACGGCAAGTTAACCGATAGGAATTTTCGCTTTGAGAAAAAGTTGTCCTGCCAACTTCAGAGAGGTTATTTCGCCGACTTCCTAGCAAGTACGACAGAAGTTATTAGACTGCGTACCCATTCCATTCGTATAAGTTTCTCTCCAACAGTGGGTGGCTCACATATTGCGCCTCCCCAATAAACATTTGGGTTGGAGGTCAAGTGGAGATTCAACACATATTCCAATTTCCAATGTTTATTTTCAAGTGTTCCTAAATTGGAGAATCAACCCATTCTCAAACATAAAGACACATTTTTTATATGCAAAATAATCCGAGTTTTCCACTTGAGAAAAGCTTTGATATCAATTTGTATTCCAACTTTATTTAACATTTAGTCAAACCTCGGAAAAAATAGGGAGAAAATGTTTTTTATCCACTTGAGAATCAAAAGTTTGCTTGGTAAATATTGTCAAAGTGCGTTCCAAACTCGAGACAACCACCTGACATATTCTTATCCTAAAGGCAGAAAACGAACAGGATATACAAATGGACTGCATACAGTCATACCAAAGTTATGATACTTGACTTTCCCTGATCTAAGTAAGCCATAAATCTCAATACTGATTGGGTAAATTCAGAACCGACGGATGTTTTTGGCATATAGGACAAGACTTCTTGCAACAGAGAAAAGCATTGTGTCTTAAAATCATTAGAGCCACGTTCATTGATTAAAATTATTTGATATATTGATATTTCCAGAAGGCATAAAAAATAAAGAATATATTCTAAGATTCCCTAGTGTGTCACTTGGTGAATGAAAGAATGGAAGAATTAACTACATACAAATAGTTTAAAAAGAGAAACAAAACTACAAGCCAATGAATGCGAAAAATGAGAACAAAACAAAACAAAACACCAAGAAATATTTCGGCGGCTGTCGAAGAGAAAGTTTTTTTTAATAACAGAGGGTGAATTAGAGAACTGCTTATCTTAATATCATACATAGGTACATAGCAATTAATTGAGCAATCAGAGTAAATAGAAGAGATTTTTTTATTGAGTTATAAAAATAGCGAGATTACGAAAAATTTAAGAGGAGAGACAATGAAAAATTAAAAACAAACAAAAGTACCGAAACCGAACAAGTATGCATGTATGTAGTATAAAAATCTATTTAAGTGGTGGGTATCAAAGTTTTGAGAGAAGAGTGTCTCCAGACCAAGAGAAAATGCTTGCATGTGCTCTGGGTATAAGAGTAGCAACAAATTATATTTTTTTCATTTGCTTGTGAAATAAATTCACTCTTCTAGCATTTTGTTTACTTTGTTTGTTTACTGCCAACAGAGAACAATGGAAGATGAGGAATGAAGAGTGGTTGAATATTCAAAAGAAAAGGGATCGAAGAGATTTGCTGCTTACACAGGCAGGCAAGTTCTAATTTTAATTCAATTCTGAAGAACAATTTGGAGAAAAAAATAATATTTTTGAAAACCTAAGTATTGGGCCGTATGCATAAAACCTAAAAAAAAAAATGCTTTTTCTTCAAATTTTAGACCTTTTCCTCACTTTGTTCAAATAAATTTAAGCGAAAGGTTTGAAGTATCAAGAAAACGCAATTGATTAATTTTTATGCATACGGCCCATTACTAAAAATAAATTCACTATTTTTGGAAAAAAAACTTCTGAAAAAAATTAAGTAAAAAAATAATAATTTTTAGAAAAAAAAATTGTATAAGGTACCAAATATTTAACCTAAGCAACCAAAAACAAACTGTTGTATATTCAAAAGAAAATAATTTTAAGAGATTTCTAAGCACGCAAGTGTTTAATTCAAAGAAAATCTGATAAAACGTAATTTCCAAAAAACATAATTTCTCGAAAAAGTTTTGTTGAAGTCAACTTCGTTTGAAACAAATTTAAAATTTTTTTAAACACAGGAAACTTTATAATTCGCAAAAAAACATATAAAGTACATGTTTTTTTGATGTTAAAAGCTGGTTTTAAAAGCGAATATCAAGTTTTTGGTTGAAATTTTAATTAAGGAATTAAGAAATCAAAGAAAAGAGAAAGTTTTGAATATTCAAAGCATAAGTATTGAAGAGATTCGTTTTAACAAAGACAGGCAAGTTTTTATTTACAAAATAATAGATAATAACCTTTTATCTACGCGATTCAAGATGAGGAAAGGGAAGTTGTTAGACATTCAAAAGACTATCAATTGAAGAGATTTGGGACTTGTGTTTAATTTAAAGAAATTCGGAAAAAAAGGAAAGGAAATGTTTGGAAAATATGACACTTTCAGAGTGTTAGTATGAGGCAGTAAAATTTAAATTGAAATTTGAAAAATAAAGGCTAAAAGTTGTATAGTTTTTACCTAAAAAAAAATGTAAAAAAATGATATTAAGAAGAAAAAATTATTAAAACAAAATAATTGGAAAAAACTTTTTTAAAAATTCAATTTTTAAAGGCAAGTAGAAAAAATTTTAATTATGGAATGTTGTTAAAAATTAAGAAAAATAACACCACAGTAAAATCTTTGAATTGAAAACTTTTTCGCCAGAAATTATAAAATTTGCACACTATCTAGTGCCGAATTTATGAGATAACGTACTTTAAAAATTATTGCAAATGAAAACGCTTTAGCACCATGCATAAAATACTATAGATATACTATAATTTGTTAGTGTTGTTACAAACAAAATAATGATAACATAGTCGAATAATCTCCTAAATTTTTATTTCTAAGTTAAAATATTTTACGAAAATTTATAAACCCTGAAACTACCACACTAAACTACCACTTACAGGTGAACGCTACATTCCTTCCAATTTGACAATTCTTCTTCTTCGTGCAGGCGATACATAGGAAAGGTGGTTGAACTTTTGGCTTAATAAAATCCGTCGTATCCTCCCCGTTTGGCAGCGTATTTATCGGCATATTCGCTACTGGTTCGGCATTATTTTCAGATCGTGTTGCCTGTACCCGAAACACTTCGTCTACACGATTGCAAATCTTACGGCAACGTTGGCATATCACCTGCGATTCTGGTCTATCCGCAACGCGACTACGCTGACCCACCACGCGCTTCAACTTGCACCATTGTCTCAAACACCAAGTGTTCGTCTTTTGCATGCAGGTCTTTGGCAGCTGTGCCGCAGTGGTGGCCATGGAAGTGGCACGATATAAGATGTTGCTTCCAGCTTGATAAATGCGATTTGGATGGATTTCATTTTGTTGCGTGGCCGTTGAGCGACGTTGTGCGCTTTGTGAATTGGATGCACCCCGACTTGTTGTTGCACGTTCATCGTTCACCGGTGATGCGGGTGTGTTGCGCGCATTGATGCCGGTGCCATTTGTGCTGCCGCTGCTACTAGTTGTGATGGCGTTGTGTGTGCCATTGATATCACTATTACCGTTAGGTAGAGTGTGTTGGCGATCGGGTTCATCACCCATTGCCTTTGTTGGAGATGTATTACACAGCTATTTTGCCACGTTTTATGTGCTTGGTAGAGCAGGAGAAAAATTTCAGAATTTTCGGAGCGTCAACAATCTTCACTTTTTGTATGTTCTCTGCACTTTCATACTTTTTTTTACTTTCCTTTAGGTCAACACTTTATTTTTCAGTGAATCACTTATTTATATTATATTTTTTTTGCAATGTCACTGCAAAATATGCACAAATAGTTCTCGATGTAAATTTTTTGGATGGATTTCCTTTTTTATTTATTTATTTATTTTTTTTTTTAAGTTTTGTTAATTATTTTGTTTTAAGTGTCATTTGTGTCCAACTTGTATGCTGCCACATTCGTAAAATAAGCTAAAATAAAATTTATATTTTCATAAACTTTAAATTTTCTAAAAGTTCTCTAAAAACTTTGTTTGACCTACAATTTGTAATTTTTCTATTTTTCGAATAGAATTATTTTAAAAACAATAACCCCAAAAAACTCGAGGGCTTCGACACTTTTATTGAAAATTTTATTTTCGATGTTCTCTTCACCTTTTAATCTATGCTCGCTGACGGATTCAAAACTGACGTAGGAAAAATGGGCCACAACACTTCGCTCTTTCATTTCTCCTCAAAGTGGTGGAAAGACTTTACAGTCTATAGATGGCGCGATGCCTTACTTCGGAGTCTTTCAACGAAGTTCAACGTGCTTACCCCAAAAAAAAGCACAGCTTTGAACCGGTGAAGTAGGGAAAACCGCTACAACCTAGTTAAGCTGGTCGCAGACAATTTCATCTCCACGATCAGCGAGATACTACGATCATCGCCGTCATGCGGTGGTAAGTTTCACGGTCTACGATTTTACTACTTCGGTGGCAGGTTGAGCTCTAAAAATCTGGACCGTGGATCAGCACCGCATAAGGATTTCTAACCAATCTGTAGAGAAGATAAATAAAATAAAATCCATCCACTTCTTCCTACACTCCGCCTTAGATTTCCAGCGGAAATTTAAATAAACTTTCACTATTTAGAGTTTTCGTGAAAAACTATAAATCATATTTGACTATAGAGAAACCAAATAATTTAAAAAAGGCACAAAAATTAAATCATATGCTTTTCTTTACTATCTATTCAATATGCCTTGGTATCGTCCAATATTCTCTGTTTATTTTAGAATCTCGGCCAGACATTTAGCAAAATAAGCGGAAATTTGTAACTTCAAACGTATTTACTTTAAGATTTAAAACGTTAACCTTATTTCCTTCGCAGTATTATAATAAACAGCCTTCAATGTTATTTACTTTAAAAGATATATGCATTAGGGAGGTCCATGAAAATTTCAAAATAAAAACTTTAGTGATAAACTGGGACATTAAAAAATATTTGTGTCATTACGTTAAAAAATGGTAATTAAGTTTGTTTCCAAATGGCATTTTTTAAATGGCACCAATTTTTAGTCATTTCAATGCCCAATGGAAATTCGTCATTAGGGATCGCTATTAGCGTTTGAAAAGTGTGTTTTTTTAGTCGCGAAAACTCGAAAAAATGTTGCTTTGACCAGCTATAACTCAGCGAGTTTATGAATTTATATGAATAAGTTTCAATAATATGTAATTATGTTAAATTTATAACATTTCAACTCAAAATTTTAGTTTTATCGAATTTTTGCGATTAAAAAAAAAATTTAACCCCGCCAGCGATTTCTAAAAATTTATTTACAATTTTGGAATTTTCGTAAATTTCTTTCAATTGCCTGCTTAATCGAATTTTTGTGATTTAAGAAAAGTTAATTTTTTCAAACCCTGGTTGCGAGCCCTAAAAATTTGTTTCGACATTTTGAAATTTTCGTAGATGTCTTTATTTTACACTTAGAACACAAAAAGGGCTAACCCATAAAAATTTAGATGTTGATATTTAAAGGGCCGCCCTAATATCCATTTGTATTTGCCTCTACATTTATCATAAAGATAAAAAATTACGCAGCATATTAATTAAATTTGCGACCGAATTCCAAGATAAGCGTTAAGCAAATACACATGTAGATATATGGGCATACAAATCACCGGTTTTCTGGTAGAACGTCATAACTTAGCATGTAAATCAGAAAAGCGTGAAAGAGCGATCTAAAGTTTTAAGTCAAGTTTTTCCGCTTGACTAATAATAAACAATAACTAAAAATTCAACAAATATAATTGTAAAATCTAGAGGACAAAACTCTATCCTGTTCAAAGAGTGATAGTTTTCTTCCAACTAAAGTTGCTAAGCAAAAAAAAGACAATTCTATTCTAATGAGAAGCAAACGAATGTGTTCACATTTGAGGTGTGATCGTCTTCCAGAAAACGAGCGATATACATACATTTATTACATGTGTATTTATTTTATTAAAAACTAGCAACTGTTCTACTGCTAAAAAACACGCCTAACAATAGCCGCAATCTAAAAATTTATGTGCGTGCCTGAATACATATACAAATATTGTCCTTTTTTGTTCATGAATTTCAATTGAAGAAACATTTATTTGTTTGTTTACCTTAATGCGTACATACATACAAGCATATATATATACATTCATATACAACTGTATACAGTATGTATGTATGTACTTATTTAATTCAAATAGAAAATTTGAGTAGCCGTTTGTGAAATTCATTTGATTTAATATTTGTAATCCGAAAATTGCAGGAACGCCCAGCTGAAATGTATCGCTGAACTGGATTTTACAATACAATAAATAAAATTTAAAAATCAAGAGGTCAAAAAACTTCCTAACTATAACTTCTTTAATTGACAAAGATTTCATTAGGAGGTTTAATATGCCGAATATTGAATTAGGAATCTAGGTAGTATTGAAGGAGTTTAGAACCAGATTTGTTCATTTCTGAACAATAAATTAATTTAATTGGTTATTTTGTCAGACAATCCATTTGATGATTGGCAGTCTTCCGGTTATAAAAATGTGTGATGTCCTGGAAATATTTAAAAAGTTAATCGAATAGGGAGTCTTTCCACATATTGACATTAGGGAAATAGCACCCGAAAATAAAAAGTAATAAGTTTTTTCCAATGCCTACAAGAGACAGAAGCCAGGTTCTTGAAGAAATCTCAAGTGCATATTCAAGTGATGCAGGGCGTATGTGAATTTAATGAAAATTTTCAATTAACTGCCAGCACATTTCATAAGAAAAAAATTGCTATATTATGTAATAGACCAAACTTAAAAGTACTTATAGCCTTATTCATAAAAAAAAAAAGGTTTAAAGAGCTCTATGAAGTAACATTTTCACACAAATTTTCACTTTATAAACGCTTCGCTAAGTCCTCTTAAAAAATTGAAACACATAAAAATCTTAAATATTTAAAAAAACCAGGTATCATACTTGAATTAAAAAAGTATGAATGTACATTAGGGTGCTTCATCAAAAAAAAAGTTGCGGTTTTTCTCCGGAATTATAAAACTAATTATATTTTATCACCTCCGACAAAATGTTAAGAAAATATTAAGATTTACTTACGATTTAAAAATACCTCAAAAGTCTTTTTCAAACAAATTTTGTTTTATATATCGATGTTTGCAAGTATTTTCGAATGGCTGCAGGCCACATAAATCTTAATATTTTAATGGAGTATTTTAGATCATAATATATTTTATAATTTCTTTTTTGTATGGAGAGGGATGCAGCCTAATGTACATTAGGAAGATCCAAAATAACTAACCTAACGAATTTATGGCCTTAAAAGGGCCTATTTACTAAGAAGAAAATTCTCCCATTTGGAAATTTTTATTCCAATTTTAAAAGGGCATTAAAAATTTCCTATGTTAATAAAATGCAAGTGAAAAAATTTGGTTTCATTAAAAATGTTATAACTATTGAACCGTTTGAGATAAAATTTGTTTTTGGTATATTCTTGTAGTGCATGAAATTCTAAAAAATTATTTTAAAGTTGTTTACTTAGACTCAAAAATGTTAATACTTACGGGCTATGAAAGTCGTAATATGTGCTATGCAGTTTTAGGGCGTTATGATTGGAAATATTCATGCTAAATTAAAAAACTTACACTAAAAATTAGTTTATTGTAGTTTTCTTTTCAGTAGATAGGTCCTTTTAAGGCCATAAATTTGTAAGGTTAGTTATTTTGGATCACCCTAATGTATATATACATATGTAGTAAATACAATTATTTAATGAATGCCGCGGACACTGTCATTAGAGGTCATTAGCGAATGCGAAGCTAGACAGCAAATAAGCGGTAAAAGTGTAAGTCGTTATGTAAAAAAGGAAGGAGACAGTAAATAAATAAATTTGCTCGGTAGATATGAACTTTTCGCCAAGAAATCAAAACAAAGCAAGAAAATTTAAATGATAAAAGCGGTGAGCAAGAGGATTTAATCACATAAAGTATTGTACCGCGACGGAACAAAATTAATAAACGCATAATTAGATAGAATTTCTCGCTCATAAATAATAGATATGTATACATATATTTAGGTATGTATGCACATATACATACATATATAGTATGAGCAAAAGCTACTTAAATACTTCTTAAGTGTAAAAACTTAGCAATGTGAATAACAAATAAACTTATAGAAAGCAATCAAACTGCACGTGCTGCTTAAGTAAGTACAAGCAAAGCACTACGAAATGAAAATCAAGCACACATACGAACACACACGCTTGTGTCCACAAGTAAAACCCATGAATTGACCGCATAAATGCCAATAAAACATTAAAAAAGTGGCAAATTAGCCAGCGAAAAAATCAATACCACAGAAAAATTACACTGACACTGACAATTGCTAGCGGTCAGGCTAGTCAGCTATTCCACATTCGCTGGAATGTTAAAATGAAATCAAAATGCTACCGTAAACACACACACACACACATACCCTAGGTACACATGTGGCACTGAGTAGCCAATAATAACGGTGAAGGACAGTTTGGCGATTTGCGCGTGGCATTTGCTGGGTCAACACGGCGTATGAGCAACACCATCAACACTGCAATTGCGACAACGGAAATGCCACCAGCAAAACGAACAACAACAACATCACAGGCAGTAGGTAACAAATACATAAACAAGTCAATCTATGCACTGTGTATATGTATATGTATATGGTTGCATTTAATGCTGCGCAATGGATGTGGTAAACCGGCAAGAGAAAGGCAAGAAGTGGCGTTTACGGTCGCAGGTCTATAATTTGCGCTGAAAATGCAACGTAATTACCTGGGACTGGCTTTGCACGCTGGGGTGATGTGCCGACGAAGTATTAAGACCTTACTAATTATACTTATGTGCACCTGTATATGTATACATATATGTAACTACACCGTGATGGTGGCGTTAGATGAACACGTTGATTAAGTT